GCATCTTGTTCTACGACTTCAACGATGTATCACGTTGCATTTGTTTTTTTAGTTATAAAAAAACGTGTTTTTCATACTTTTTCATTTCATTTAAGTAGGCGTAGCAAACATATGCTGAATTTAACCTAGTCTTACCCTTATCTTGGCCCTGTAATACATTACATACAGAAACGTGCACTAATCTAACGTTCTTGTAAGTATTCTTAGGTACTTATAGTACATTCAGTTCTGAAAAATTTCATAACTTTTAGCAAGGCATCGAACAAAAAACTATTGGAATTGGTGATAGCAAAATAGTCCGATGAGCTGACAACGCCGCAATCCAGGTGACAAGAATTACAAGGTCATCTTGATCTTGCAAAGCGTATGTCTATGTCGGAGTAACAACGGAGTCATTTAGAACGTCAAAGCAGCAGTTTTCCGATATTCATTTAAATGTACGTTCTTTAACGGCTGCCTTTAATGAATTCTCATCTCTTGTACGATGCAAGTTTGATATTGTAGCAGTCACTGAAACATGGCTCCATTCAAACATTGATAGCACTGCTGTCAGTATGCATGGGTATAGCTTCTTCCGTAAAGATCGGGGGAGTAGAGGGGGTGGCGTCGGTCTGTATGTTAAAGTCGGTTTTAATAGTAGCGTTATTCCAGTTGAGTTCTATGATTTTGTAATTCCCCTGGAAATTTTATGCTGCAAATTTAAACTACTGGGAAAAAGTATGCTAATTGTTGTGGTATATCGGCCACCACATTGTTCTATATCTCAAGCTATCCAATCCTTAGAAAACTTGATCGCATTTTTCACACCCCAATATGATAGTATTGTATTTTTAGGAGATATGAATGTTGACTTGCTTGCGCATAATAATATCCTTAGCAGCTGTTTTGATTCTTTCAATTTCTTTCAAGTTATTAATGAGCCTACACGAGTTACAGCTTTCAGCTCCACATTAATTGACCCCATTTTTGTAAGTGACAGTACTATAGTAAAGAAGTCTGGGACACTTAATGCAGACTCGATTAGTGATCACCGACTTGTTTTCTGCGAGATCTCCATTAGTAGTAATAAAATAGAGCCCAAATTTGTAGCATATCGGGATCTCAAAAGCATTGATATCCCTAGTTTTAAGACGCAGATCGCTTCATTGCAGCTTGACGATATATATTACGTAGATGATGTTGATACTAAAGTCTCTATTTTTACTAACCGTCTTATGCATCTTTTTGATATTTACGCACCACTACGTACAGTGCGAGTCACAAAGCCTGCTGCACCCTGGCTAACTCCTAATTTAAAAATAATATTTCAACTAAGAGATGATGCATTAGCAGTATTTCAGAATAACAGATCTGCACAAAACTGGGAATACTACAAGGATTTGAGAAACTTTGCTCTAGCATCTCTGAGAAGAGAAAAAAAAGCATATATGTCTCGTTTCAGTAACTTAAACTCTAGTCAAGCGTGGAAAGAGCTAAGGAGAATGGATGTGGTTGCACAAAAGCGTGTTGCGATACCGCCTAGTTTACTTGATCCTAACGATTTAAATAACTACTTTCTTTCAATTTTCCAGGCAGCTGTAACTGATTCTAACTTGATTGATCGTGTTTCTAACAGCTACAGCAATAGGCGTTATATACCAAGGGCACCTCTATTCGTATTTAAACTGCTCACTCAGCAAGACATTCTTAACATAATTAGTAATATTAAGTCTACGGCCTGTGGTTCAGATGGTTTAAGTTTAAATATGGTTTGCTTATGTCTGCCCGAGATTATCGATTACATAACGCATGTTATTAATATCTGCCTTGAAAGTGGTTATTATCCAGCCAGCTGGAAAAATGCTATAATTATTCCACTAGCCAAACACAATTGTCCAGAGCAACATTCTGATCTTAGACCAATCAGCCTGTTATGCTTTCTATCAAAAATACTAGAGAAAGCTGTCTACTCTCAACTGGTGGAGTTTTTTGAACAGAATAACTTATTTCCTCAATGTCAGTCGGGTTTCAGGTCTGGTCACAGCACGACCTCGTCGTTATTAAATCTCACTGACTCTATCATCTATAATTTGGATAATCACATCAACACCGTATTGATACTGCTAGATTTCTCGAAAGCCTTTGACATGGTCAATCACCAGATACTATTGAGTAAATTGTCTTACTATGGTATGTCAGATATAGTTGTAAAGTTCTTCGAGTCATACTTGCTTGATCGGCAACAAACTGTGAAAACTGAACAGGGCATGTCCACTACGAAGCCGGTTCCTTCAGGAGTTCCTCAGGGTTCTGTGCTTGGTCCCTTATTATATCTGATATACACTGCCGATTTGCAAGATTGTATAGTCCATTCAGCCATGCATACTTACGCGGATGATACTCAGTTGGTGTTTGCCTTTGATCCGTCAGAGGTTGACGAGGTTTCTTTCAAAATCAATTTGGACATGACTAACGTAAACGATTATTGCAAGAAACACTGTCTTAAAATAAATCCTAAGAAGACTACTGCTATGTTGTTTTGTTCGAAAACTTCCTATCCAGTTGTGAAGGAGAGAATTAATATTGTGTTGGATCAAACACTCATCCCTCTTGTTGACTATACTAAAAACCTCGGAATAACTCTCGACAAAAACATGAGGTTTGATCATCACGTTTCATATTTGTCGAGAGTAACGTATATGCGCTTTAAACTTCTACATTCAAGTCGACATATTTTAAATTTTAAAACCCGTAAAAAGCTTTGCGAAACTCTTGTATTGTCAATTATATCTTATTCTCTTGTCCTCTATTATCCATGTTTAGATTATAATAACAAATGTAAGCTTCAGAAAATTCAAAACAGCTGCTGTAGGTTTATATTTGGTCTCCGTAGGTTCAGTCACGTTTCGGATAAAATCAGAGAACTCAACTGGCTGAAAATTGATAAACTATTTTTATATTTATTGAACGTCTTAACTCATAAAGTTCTGCTAACAAACAGACCGGCCTATCTTTTTAGCAAATTGATACCTCGTGGTAACTTTGTACCAAGGACTCTTAGATTTAATATTAATTTTAATATGCCGCTCCACAACACTTTTATCTTTGAAAGGAGTTATACCTATAATGCTGTTAAACATTACAATGCTCTTAACCATTCGCATCGATCCAAGCCAGTCTCTTCTTTTAAGAAATTAATGAAGAATCAGTTGCTGGAGACAAGTTAGTTCTCTGTGTTTATATATGTATATGATTGTCTTTTCCTGATTGTTTTGTGTATCTGTCGTTCATTTAATGAAACTATGTTGTTCTTAATTACTTTTTTTTTGTAACATGTGTATGTATTTTTCTTTCTTTTTTCTCTGCTTTGGGGTTAAGTGGAGGAGTAGCCGTCTGGCTAAACTTCGCCTCACTGCAGATAATAAAGGCATTATTATTATTATTATTATTATTTGCATATTTTTAATTGTTGTTCAACGGTTTCGAGAAAAATTTAGCTACGGATAGTCTTCTAGAGTCTAGTAGAGTATATTTCTGTAGTTGTCTTGCGTGGCCATGTTATCTTTACTCGGATCGGAATTTGTTTTAACAGGAAAGTAATTCCCTTGATGAGTCACAATTTTTTTTATTTTCCCATTTCCAAATAATTAAGGAATTTTATGTCATAAAGTTTTTCTGACTTTACTTCATGCTGCAACTCTATTTTTCTGTACTTTCTGTAACACTCCATTTTTGGTAATCCTACATGACCATGGAATTTTGAGCACCCTAAAATGGCGATGGTCAATAATAGTAATTACGATCTTCACATACACAGTACATACTTGTAGCCTGACACTCTACACAATCCAGAGTCCCACAATGATTTGTAGAAAAGCATCCATGACGTGGACAATATAATAATTGCACTTGTCGTACAATGTTTACCTTATCCATGGAGGAACCATCTCATAAAGTCTGAGAGAATGAATCACACCTGAAAATAATGCGATGAGTATATATCTAATATGAATATGCAATGACTTGCTTTATATTTTACCTACCTTCATCAAGAGAACAGCTTGGTTGCAAGCTTCTGGACCTTTATACATACAATATTATAATATAATATGTCGTGTGCATTAATTTTCCTAACCCAACAATTTCTTGAAGATACCACAGGTTGTGAAGATTGCTCAATATAGCGAAGTATTATTGACTGATCCACATTATTTGCAAGCAAATAATAAATTATGCTTCTGCCTTGATTCAAGTGTCTAAAATCTCTTAAACGTCAAAACAATAACATAACTTCTAGCCAGCATGTCGGAAATCTAAAGCAGGACATGCAAGTACCTTATCGAAGAATACATGATATTATCGAAATCGAGGAGACCATAAAGGCGTCCTACAATAAATTGTAGGAACTACTGACGATACGGCCCTAAGTTATGGGCTCCCAAAGGAGAAATTTTTATATTATTGAGGAATTTTTTCGAATTGTGTGTCTAGTGGGATATACCTATAACAGCGTTCTATATAGGTAGTTTTTTGTCCTGTTCGATGAAAAACCAAATTTGAGATTCAAAAAGAACTTAAGGCAGCGTTTTCAACCTGTGGGGCGCGCCTCCCTAGGGGGGCGTGTCAATCTTAAAGAGGAGGGGGCAACACTAACAACATTGAATAATTTATTAAAAGGTAAGAAAACACTTATAAACAGGACTGAATTTATCAATACTAAATAAAAAATAAGTTTAATAATATTAATTGTAAAAAATAATAATGATTACTAGTGACTCCCTTGGGCCTGCTTTGCCGAGCAAAGCTTGTCGAAACAAGGTTTAATATTTGAAATATACACTCCGAGTCCTTTTTCTATATTTAGCTGCGATCTATATTTGGTCTTCAAAGCAGCCACCGCCTAAAATCTTGTTTCGCAAAGGTAGGATGTGGAAAATGGTAGTAGTATACGAAACGCTCTGGTTTTCAATGCCGAAAACTCATCGGTCACGCCTGCCCCAATCTCAAAGAGCGATTTATTATTAAACTGTTTTTTGATTTCGGCGTTTGCCGTCAAGTCGATAAATATTTCTTCTTCGGCAGTTAAGAGCCAGAGTAATTAGAAACGGATTCTCATCCCACTCGTAATTAAGTATTAATTTGTCGTCAGCAAGAAAATATTTTTTAAAATTCTTTGTCAGCATCGCTAAATGATTTTCAGTGGTTATGAAAATAAATTTCATGTGTTGTTCTTCAACCTTTTGAGTTTTAATGCATTCATCCTCATTGGAAAAAATTTTCAGGTTTTTTTGCTATAAATTTCTGCTCTACAATTCCAATTTTCTGCAAAAAGCGTTAACTTTATCACTCGTATCCAATATATTTGTATTTGCCCCTTGGAGCTGAAAGTTGAAGATATTTAGTTTCTCGAATATGTCGACCAATTTCATCAGAAATAAACCATGTCGAAACATCTCGGCTTCCGGTCGGTTTTCTTCTTCTAGAAAAACGGCGATTTCATGGATTAATTCAAAAACACGTTGTGAGCATTTCCCACGTGATAGTCATTTTGCCTCGCAATAGAATAGTAATGCTGAATGTACTGCACACACTTTTATAAAGTGCAGAAAAGATTCTAGTTTTCAAAGGTCTCATTTTTATGTAAATAACTACTGTTACAACCGTAGTTAGCACAATATTCAGGCCAGGAGACATTTCTTTGGAAAGCAAGAGCTTCTCTGTGAATCATGCAATGTGTCCAGATGCACAGTGCAGATTTTTGTTTTACAAAGGTTAGTATACTTTCAAATCTTCCAGACATTGAACGAGCCCCATCGGTGCATATTCCACTCTTCCACTCTATGTTTGCCTCGATTATATAATCATTGAAGTTAGCAAATAATGCGAGAGCTGTTGCTTCGCGATCTATAGGTTTGCAGAAAAGTAGTTCTTTTACTACTGATATACCATCGCGAATTGGAACGTAGGCAATAAGATGAGCATCTTTATTGCTTTTCGTTGCCTCGTCAAGCTGAATTGAAAACAACTTGTCTCGCAACTTAACGAGCAGCTGATGCTGTACATCTTCAGTTATAGCACCAATTCGACGGGCAACCGTATCATTTGATTGAGGTATGGACTCCAATTTCTTCGGCAATAAACTCCAAACATAGTTTCTACAGTTTTAATTGCAGCTGACAAAAGCTCTTCACCAATAGTGTGAGGCTTCTTACATCTGGCTATTTCATATGAAACTTAATAAGAGGCAAGTAAAGCTTTTTCGTTCACAGTCATAGTTTTTTTTAAATGATTTTGTTTTTCGTATGATTTTCATTTTAACTAAAAGAATTCTCGGGGTTGTTAACGTACTCACTATGAAGCATTTCCAAATGTCGTTTCAGTTTATTAGGTTTCATTCTATCTGCTGCTAAGGTTTTTGAGTAAATGATACACACAGGCATCTCTTTTCATTGACTTCAGTACATGTAAACCCAAAATTTAAGTATTCTTGAGAATACTTTCTTGATTTTATTATCTCTCGCCTGTGCATTTGTAGATGCTTCAATAGTATCGAATGCTCGCTTACGCCCACTTAAAGATGTATCCATGATGTGGGATAAATTTAAATTTACTGCTGGGGATATGCAGGGTGTAAACGTGATCGTAGTCATTATTGAAATGGGTAATAGAGGGGTCAAAACAAGTCAAAAAGTTCATATGACCCATGATCCAAAAGTCAACAGATTTTTGTCTAAATGGCTTTATACTTTACAACTTTAAGTGCTCTATATCGACCACAATCTTACTAATTTTTATGATCTAATCTAAAACGTTTTTACATTGGGTAATTAACAAATAAATGTCATTAAGTTTTTCTAAGTTAAGCCAAAATTTGTAGTCAGTAAGTAAGGTTCATTAAATTAAATATTTAAAACACACATGACAACAGCGCGTCGGTCATTCATCACTATTATCGAACCGGCAATCTATCGCCAACGGTAACGGTGGTTAGTTATTGTTCGCGTACGTCGTCGTGTTTATTTACAATGTTATCGAATCGAGAGTTTGCCGACATGTTGTTAGTTTACGGTGAAGCTCGTCAGAATTCAAATCTTGCAGCTCAAATTTATCGCGACAGATTTCGCCAACGGGTACACCCATACAGAAGGACATTTGTGCAAGTGTACGAAAGACTTCGAGATACAGAAGTGTTCGGCCCACTAATATTCGTACTCGTAAAATACAGGTTACTGTAGAGCAGGAGGAACAAATCTTAAATATCGTGGAAATCAATGCAGATATCAGCACTCGGGAATTAGGCCGCCGCGTAGGACTATCGCATACCATAGCCCATAGAATCCTATGGGAAAATTTGATTTATCCCTACCATGTAGAACGAGTGCAGGCCTTGTTACCAGAAGACTATCCTCGCAGACTAACATTCTGTCAGTGGTTTTTGCACAAAGAGATTGAGAATCCGGATATTTTTAAAAACATTCTAGCGACGGACGAATGTACTTTTCCGCGGGACGGGATATTAAATTTCCATGATACTCACACGTGGGCCCAAGAAAATCCTCATTACCATTCGTGAAGGTCATTTCCAACAACGTTTTAAAATAAATATTTGGGCGGGTATTATTGACGATCAGGTAATTTTGGCCCTTTCGAGTTACCCTCAAAGTTGTCAGGGGAAGGATACCTTAGCTTTCTAGACAATAACCTACCAGAACCTTTGGAACAGACTTTAGACAACATGCCATTACAACGGAGACAGAATTTGTGGTTTCTTCATAACGGGGCACCACCACACATTTTTAGAGGCGTCATTCAGTATTTGAATGAGTATTATCCAAATCTCTGGACCGGCCGAAATGCTCCTGATCCTCGAAAATGCCCAGCAAGATCTCCTGACCTAAATCCGATGGATTTCTGCTATTGGGGAGAACTTAAAGGGATGGTTTATGGGGCTGGTCCAATAACAACTGAAGCACAACTTCGCAAAAAAAATTTTAATGCGGCGGAAATAATAAATGGACAACTTCGAGGACCTAGAGTAAGAAGACATTGGGTTCGTCGTAACGAAGCTTGTGTGGAAAGTGGCGGACGACATTTTGAACACCTTCTTTAAATACAAAAAGAGTGCAGTGTGAATCTTAATAAGAAAAAGAATGTATGTATCAAAATTGTGTACCCTATTTATAAGTGGATTTTTTTAATACGTTCAATAAACTTTCACACACCAGGTGAAGCGCTGATTCAGTTAGTGGTAAGTCCGTTTTTTTTTAATTGTTTGCATTTTACGAGTACATTATATATATATATATATATGAACTGCAATTAACACGCAAATTACAACATACGTATTCACAATAGATTTAGCACAGGCAGAACGACTGACTCCACTGAGACTGACCAGAATTGACGAAATGCGGCGTATATACACGTTCACGCAGACTGTCTAGAATGTTTGGAATAACTCGGAACTTCTCGCGAAGAGGAGCATTGATTCCGGATTTGCCAATGCAGCAGATCGACTTTGCCAAATATCTATAAATGTACTTATTCTCGGTAAGTTGTAGGATTTGTAATTAAGGTTGTACTGTCGGTTTAGCATCAAAATACTCAAGGCACGGTGAAAATAGTTATTGAAGTTTTGGTGGCAAATGGCGAAAGGTTGAGAAACGCTGACTTAGGGTGCTAAAACGGAAGGAAGCATTTCCACCCAGAATTTGGGCAACTTCACACCTTCTATTTTGATTTTATTACTGCAAAGTATAGCCTAAAGTGCGTTTAATATAGTCAGAAGCTTTGAAATAGTATGCAGATTAATTCAGGGGAAGTAAACGCTCCAAGTTATAGTTTTAGTAGCATCTAACATTTTTACCCTGATCTTATAAGCTATAATTTCATGCTGCAATATAGGTATGTAAAATGATTATTAACGCTGAAAAATACTTAAAGTGTCTTACAACGTCAACGTCATACCCAGGGCGACCTATGTGTAAACAAATGTACGTACGTACCTCCTTAATTAATGCACTTCTAATGTATTTTAAACGCATTTTAGGTTATGTTTTGGTGTAAAAAAGTCGAAAATAAGAAATGTGAAGTTGCCCAAATTTTGGTATGAAACGCTTGCTTCCTGTTTAGCACCTCAAGTTTTTTTCAATATCAAATTGGGTTTTTTTATCATGAACTACAGAAAGTTTCCTATATAAAACGCTTCATAACCCACAACGATTCTTTTTAGGTTGAACATTTTTTTCGAAAATATCCCATTTTCAAATACGGCTTTTTAAATATTTTTCCCTTAAAACTTACTAGATGTTCAAGCAGGCCCGCTGTCCGTCACGTGTAATGCTCCATATGGAAAGCTAGCTTGTTATTGCCGGACATACGCTCTGTAAAGGAATTTGCCAGCTGTATGGTGCGCCATCCCTGAAGTTCACTAGTCTCCTATATATAATAAAATGTTTAATCAATTTATACAGTAATTCTAGGATATCCAGCATTAACAGTGGTAGTTTAATATACAAATTATTGGATATACATAGGGCTACCCCAAATACCCCGTATATAAAATTTAGTATTTATTTATGCAGTAAAAACCACATTACGCAATTATATCAATTAAAATTGAAGCAATTCTTTTATCATGTCAACAAAAGATAAGTAACTTCCTGTATATATGAAGAGTACTCGAAAACCTGTAAATAAGTTCAAGTAACGTTTTAATAATACTGTGAGAGATGCTTTAGATACTAGAAAAGCATCCTGATATCTCCTAAAATCATCAATTCTCACTGCAACTACAAACAAAAACATTATTTTCTTTCCTTTTTGACTGGTTGCCTCGTTGCCATTTTTTGACATAACTATTGATCTGACCGCGCCCTTATAACAATAATGAATTGAATGTTTGAAAATGAGTGGATTTTGGACAAGAATACTGCCACGTCTTCGAACTGGGGGCTAAGTTCAGCTGACTCGCCAGTGTAAGGTTCAAACAGAATGACGCAAGAGATACTATTTGTTTGTGGTTTGTTCGTACAGTAGTCGGTAACTTGTCGGTGACTGTCAAAATCAGAATCAGAGAGATGTTACCTGGTCATACAGTTTCTGACGGTTTGCAGACAGCTAATCCGCCATTCGTACAGAACCTTCTGACAGATCAGAGGACACCAGTCAACCAGTGACAGTGACAGGTATCAGAGTGTATCTTGAGGACTAAAATTGCTTCGCGAGAGGCATTTATTGCGATCTTCTCTAAAGGACGGTCTGGGGAAACCTTCCTACCAACGGGTCGTTGGCGATCTAGCTACGACAACGCGCTTTGATCTCTTCCATGGTGTCGTCGCTTGATGTGCCTACCTGACTTCGGCGTCCCATCTTAAGTGTGTCGAACTTCGTACATCCAGAACTGGCCAATAAGACCGCTCCTTTGTCCCGAGGGTCTCGAGATCATGTAACAATCTACAAGAGGAGAATTCTCCCAGTTCTACTAACTTTAGGCAGTTCAAAAATAGGAATAACGAAGTTTCTTTAACCTCCTCAAAGCAGCCGCGGTGCCCTGGCATGTAGGGTTCACCTGCGCGGCTGCTTCGGTGTACAAAAAACTGAGCGATATACCAAGAAGATGAAGACTTTGAAGATCTACTGAGGAGAGAATGAAACCCAAAAACCTTAATTTTGTAGAGAAAACAGTGCCACAATTCAACAGGATCAAGTTTTTGTAACATTTTCGGGTGAGCAAGTATCAGAAACTTTTTTAATGGAATTCCATTTTAAATATCAGCGAGCGCAAAAGTGCTTTGTGCTCAATATTCTGCTTATTGACCCGGAAATGGCAACATTAAGATTACGAATACAGTAGGAAAAATCCGAACAATAGAGGAAATAACTTTCAAGAACCATAATTACTTTTGTGATCACTAATCTTTTGAAAATCTTTGTTACAGTTGCAAAATGCGTAATTACGCGATTTAAGTCTTACTTCTATGTATCTTCGTAATCTCAGTTCTTTTTGTCCATGTTGAGAACTCTGTGAAACTTATAGCTATGTAAGCAGATCTTGATTATTGTAGATATATGTTTAGCCGATTTAGCTTTTTAGTGTATATCACGCTTTATTGTGCAAAGACGTTATTAAATCCTTGTAGTAGTTTCACTTCTTTCTTCTAGTGAGAGTCTGCATATACAGGGTAATTCTAAGTTTCCCTCACTATTGGGATCTTGGAAACTGTAAGGGATACGAAGTCGCTTAAATGGGGTGGTCAACAAAATGACACTTCCAAGGTTTCGAAACTCAAAGTACGTCCGTAGAGTAAATAAAGTCAGAAGAAAATTAAAACCATTTTGGGAAATTTCGTTTTTTACGTCTCTTTCCGGGAGTACTTTCAATATCAAAACTTTCTAAGAGACATTTTGTTAATTATCTGAATACGCAGCTTTGCCCCTATTTAAGTGACTTCGTATATTTAAGTGACTTCGTATCCCTTGAAGTTTCCGAGATCTCACCAATGTGGATCGAATTTATAATGCCTTGTATATATATTATTTTCACCCCAACACTCCCTCTCCGTGGGCACCCGTGAGAAAATGCTGTATCACAATATCTCCGGAATTAGTTATTTTGTTTTTTTTTCATCAGCTTTAGGTTGGACCTACATAGCTAGAATATATAAATACTATTTGTGCATACACTTCGAGGCTGGGCGACAAGGAAACAGGGAAGAAAAACCCTACTATCCGAGTTTTATTAAAAGTCATTCACAATACATTGTACATTTCTCATGCATAATCACTGCAGACGTTTATTCAGAATTCTTACTATGTATTTATTTCTTCAACTTGTCATTCGATATGTGGAATCATATTTCTTCGAATTTATGTTTATACTTTTTATATGAGAATTGAATAGTAGTTACTGAGTACATACATAGCCAACAGTCAAGCGAGTCAAAAATCTTTCGGAAGCAAGTATCGAGAACCACAGGCTCCAGGGGCGCAGGGGAAAGTGGAAAATCTCTGACATGTGAGGCAACTTGAAGTGAGATGAGATTATAACTGAGAAAGTGGCCAAAATAGAAGCTACTGAAATCAGCCTTGTGTGGTCTAAACTGTTAAATATTACCAAGCTATTCAATCGCGTTTTCTTTCAGTGAAGCCAGTGCTGGACTGGTGCATATTCCAAATCCTTATAACAGAACCAATTTATATATTCATGTAGTTTTGGTGCACATTTTGAACTAGAACTGGTGTCATCTACTGTCTTCTGCTTCGATTTACATATTTGAATGCAGCCGTGCTATTTGCTAGTGGTTTACTATTATTTTTTTGATGATTCATCATAGTAACACGGAAAAGGACAAAGAAACGAAAAATATGCTTCATTGACAGATTACTGCGACATGAGAGCTGTTTAATGTTGTTTTGGGAGCAACTTTAGGATCAAAGGTATTAACTAAGGTAGAGTATTTTAAACACAAAAACTGCGCTAATTTTATCAGAAGAAAATACTATATCTCTGAGCCACAGAAGCGAATCTCAGGCTTTCGATTCTCTCATCACTAGTGCGATGAAACGACAACTTGTCCCTCCTTGGAATACTTGAAATAGTGATGTGCGTCCTAGTTCGTTTCATTAAGTTGCGTGCAGTTCTAGGAACTGATTTGTGAACAAACTACTTTATGCAACAATACCACAAAAAATATATGTACAGAAACAGAGCAGATATTCCAGTCTGTCAGTCGGGATAACGTAAAAACGATTCAATTCATATCTTTTAACCGTTCCAATGCTTTCCACTGATTGCAAATGTATTCTCCCATCGCTAATATTGTGAGACACTAATTTCAAATGTCAATTCTTCTTTGTTCTATTCTCCTTGTCCAGCGTTACTGTAGTCTATGTTTTGTGGTCACTTGCTGTTTTAAGCTTTATGTGTTATTTGTGAAAAATGGATTTTCCCTATAAAAAGTGCTCCCTCCAAGATCTTTCGTGTGGAGAATTACATATTACACTGTCGTGTACAGTTAAATCTGCACCAACTCTCAAATACGTGGTTATGTTGAGTGTACCATGTACCATCACCGGGATCGTACACTGAAATCAAAACAAAAACCTGCAACTGCAATTGGATGTATGACAGAAATCTTGAACAGTTCCGGACCAGTAGTATCAAAATATCGTTGAGAAATTGGAAAGAAGTGTATGAATGTGTTGAAACGCAACACCTAACAAAAAGTTGAGTGAAAGTTATTTTTCATGCAAGAATTTGGAAGTGCAAGTTTGCAAATGTAGGATAAACTATTAACACCCAGAAGGTGATGTTGAGTTAATATGATCACATATGAGTTACAGAAGTTGCAATAAACAGCAGCTAAACTGAAAAAAATGGATTTTACTCAGCCATCAAGAATATTTTTTTAATTTGGCTCAGTTTTATATAATATAATATTTAATAAACTGAAAACATTTCAATGGCAAGCTGTCACTTCATATTTTACAGTGTCTTGTTTTGAATACTTTGATGCTATTTGCTACCAAAAATTTAACGGAGAGATCATGACGCTGATTGGTGCAGAATAATGGTTTGTTAAATTGAGAAATCGGCCCTTTAGACTAATAAATTAATCGTATTTTCTCTGTGTCAATATATTATCTACTTTTTTGCTATTAAAATATTAGTGCAGATACTTATTGATATAATAAAAATGTTAAATTGGTGATAAATCCATGCAACTTAGCATCGATGGTTCAGGACATAGGCGATCTGTTTGGATCATTTGAGCTTGAGTCTCATATAACTGAGTACACTCGAATTGCCTCTACCAGATATGGAATCAGCAAATCGTCAATCGACTACATAATTAGTAACTGCCCAGTAATTAGAAATTTGAACTACAATTCATTGAGGGAATTTCGCTATTTATTACTGAAGCATGGGTTTGGTGATATTCAGAAGTGTAACATAAATGACTATTTCGATGACTTTCTAGAAACGTGCTTGCGGTCTTTCGACATAGCCTTTAAACGTAAAATTGTTCATAATGAGCGATACAGCTCTCCTGATAAGAAAATTAAATTCTCTAAGGCCCGTATCGCCAGAAGTCCCTACAATTGTAGGGCGCCTTTATGGCCTTCTTGATTGTCATAGTTTTCTACTTCTCCGTGTCAGCGCTCTATTTTGAGGTTATGGCACAATCATCTATTTGTATCAAATTGTGCTTGCTTTTGAGTTATAACATGTTTTATCAGCCTGAAATTTCCTACAATTTAAAAAGAAAACATATCTCCACAATAGAAGAGCGCTGACGCTGACACGGGACAAGTGTAATCTAGAAATTTTTGAAGGAGAGACAGAAGTTTGACAATCAAGGAGGCCATAAACGCGCCCGTACAATTGTAGGGACGACTGACGATACGGGCCTAAGTCACTTCAAGAAAAAATATATCAATTGAATAACCTAGCATGGCTGCGTAAAGAGATTCAAGATACTAATTTGGAAACAAAATTTAAATCTTTAAGAAAAGAGGTTGATAAGACTATTCGTGATGAAAGGATTAGTTACTATCACTCGATAATCAGCAAATCTTCAGACAAACAGAAAACTACTTGGAATATTGTCAATTCAATAAAAGGTAAACAAAAGAATGCAGTTATTACAGAATTAGTCTGCGATAACGTAACTATAACCAACCCTACTGATATCGCCAACTTTTTTGGAAAATATGTATCCACTGTAATTGGCAAGAAAATGGCCAAAAATTTTACCGTTTTGTCGGATTCCTGCACTACATGGTGAAA